ACACCTTCTCCCCAGCCAATGTGGATGCTTCGGTTATGTTCAGGAAATGGAGGGACAGTAAAGGAAAAGACAAAGAATATGCTGAAATCATTAGGTAAGGTACATTGTTCTGCCTTCTGTTTGATGATAGTTCAAGCCTTCATACAAACCAAAGTGTATGCTGGAACCAAGGATTAAATAAAATTTAAATATCCTGTCCTACTCCAGAATAATTTCTCACAATTAGATTTGTAGTGTGGGAAGGGACAATTACTTCCTGAACTTAATAGCTTGCAAATTGAGGGAGCATCCAATAAAAAAAAAAATAGTGCAGCAGATTCAATTTTCTAGGAACTAGTGCTTCCAGGTTCTTGACTAATTGTTTGTAAACTCTCCTTCCTGGCCATTTTAGGGAATTACCCAAGGTATTCCAGACATTTCAGGCATATGAAAGATTTTCTTTTTCAATTTTCTAATTAATGAAGTACTATAACTTATTGGTATTTTTGGCCCTAGTAGCAAGTACATATTCTGGATATCTGCTTTATTAGCAACACTAATGTATGGCATGACCAAGACCTAGATAAGAACCAGAAGTCTTGGAATCTATTGTGGCTTTGCTACTTGTCCTGTGACCATTTATCAGTTAACTTTTTGGTTTAGTTTTCTTCATCTATATAAAAAATAGAAGGTGTCAGCCTCAGCCTTTTATTTCCTAATAACAACCCTAAGGGAGACATAAGATTTTCACAATAGGGATGGGGATATAGCTTAGTTGGTACAGTGCTTGCTTCAGACACACAAGTCCCTAGGTTCAGTCACTAGCTAAATAAATATTATAATAATAGCACATAAGAATTGTGCAAAATATTCAACCCCCCTTAATAATATTATACTTTCAAATAGGGTCCTTCTCTATAGGAGAATGTTAGAAATTTGGTTATTACTAGAATTTATACAAATGGAATCCCTCTCTATGAATGAATCTATTTGGCATGATACCATGTATAGACCAAAAAAAAAAAAAAAAGAAAGAAAGAAATCATGTGTGACTATAGATCTGTTTTCTGCTCTTTGGAATCACTTTTAGACCCTCCCTCAACCACAGCTGTGAGATTTCAAGGATAGAGTTTGGGTTTCCATAGTTCTCAGCCACCCAAGTGACTGTTGCATACCAAAAGCTTAGAGTACTCTGCTAGATAGGTATGACAGGCCTTTCTCCTGAGGGGGAACTCATACTTGGCATTTGCAAACAAATGAAATAATAAGTGCAATTATAGAAGCCCAAACAAGATACACTGGAAGGAATATATAAGGCAATAGAGTTCCTAGGAACGATAATTCTTTATAACCAGAAATTTTTCATGCTTAAAAAAAGGGGGGTAAGGAAAAATCTTTTAAGAGATACAGAAACATGTTTAACTAAGACACAGGCACATAACAGTATGGTATGTCAAGGACATTATAAGTAGTTTTACAATGCTTGAATGTAAATTTTGATTTGTAGTAATAGGAAATTAAGCAGGATCGACACTACATTTTAAGGGACATTGAAGTCATGATAAGAAAAAATAGTTCTTAATTTCAGAAGAGATAGTGTGTCACTTCATGATTTTTAGGGAGGTAGATAAGAGATAATTCTATTTGAGATTGACCAGAAAACCATGGACTAAACTATGAAAATTAGGCTTCAGAGCTTCAAAGGAGAAGGATTTATGATTTAGAAACCAATGCTTTTCATGAAAAATGGAAAAACTGGCTGTGCAAACAGAAAATGAAAAATGCACTCTTGCTGAGTGTGTGTAGCACTGAAAAAAATGTAAGCTGGAACCATCAGTATAAAGGGGAGCGTCAGTAAAAACTTTGGGAACTGGTAAGATGTCTTAGGGCTAAAGAACACAGAGATTGAAGCCTAGAAGCCTCAGGAATATCAGTATGTAAGGAATGACAACAACTAAAATTCAAAGAAGAACTTAAGAGGTCTTGATTGGGGATTATTCGAAACCCCCCATCTTGATGACTCCAGTTTTTATATTTGTTTGGTAGATAGAAACTATTCTTCATTCAATCAAAATATTTATTGCATACCTGTTGTATGCTAGCCTGTTGTTATAGGCACTGGGAAAGTAGAAGTAACTAGAAAGGTATGACATCTGCTCTGATGAAGCTTATATTCTGATAAGGAGATACAGAAGAATGAACAAAAAAGATCATGAAAAGAAAAAAAATACTAAAATAGTGATCAGTAGAATATAACAAGAAGCTGTGAGAGAGTGATACCTAATTTAAATGGTTGTTTCTGGGGTTGGGTTTGTAGCTCAGTGATAGAGCACTTGTGTAGGATGTGTATGGCCCTGCATTCAATCCCCAGAATGTGGGGCTGGGAGTTAGCGGGTACTCTGAATGCAATTTAAGTCAAGATATGACAAAAAGGAAACACACAGATCAGGAAAACTAGTGGTCCAGACAGAAAGTCAACTAAATGTGTTCAAGGCACAAAAAATGGACCAGGGTCGTCTAAATGTTAGAATTGGAGAAAGCAATGTGACCGTGAGAACCAAGACTGGGTCATAATAAGACTTTGGAATGTAAGCACAAGATTACATTTTTACTCTGAATATAGATTAGGATGATTATTGAGCTACATTTATTAGGTCAGGTTGGTGATGATAAAAAATATATTTATTTTAGTTGATATCTCATTAATTCTTGAGAATGACTGTGTTTAAGCTTCCTTCTTGTCAATATTTATCCCCCACACATAAAAAAGTCATTATTAAAAGTTTCCTTCAAAATGATAACGAATGGGTTGAGACTGTTTAATATAGTGTAATACGTAATATCAGATGCTTTCAGGTAGGAACTTGAGTTTGAAAAGCAGTGTGATAAGGAATCTTGACTGGGGCCAATTATAAATCTATTTTCAAAACAGAGACAATAAACTACTTGTCATTCACTCTTCAGGAAACAGGTTTCAGCCACTAAAGCCGAAGCAGAAAAGGACGGAGTGAAGGTCCCCACAACCCTGGCGGAATACTGCATCAAAACTAAAATGCCTTCCAATGACAACAGCTCAGATTTGCTTTATGACGACTTGTATGATGACGACATTGATGATGAAGATGAGGAGGAGGAAGATGCCGACTGTTATGATGATGATGATTCTGGGAACGAGGAGTCGTGACGTGCTCCTTTGATGCCCCTGTACTGCCCTGCCGTCTCAGGCCAAAGGGAGGGGAGCAAGTGGGGACCTAGCAGCGGCCCCTCAACAAAAACCTATTCACCGGGGGTGGGGGAAAAAAAAAACACAGCTCCTGCTGACTCCCCTTATGGATCTCAGTTTGCTCCTTTTTATGGACCTTTCATGGAGAGAAAGTAACCCTCCACAGAATGTCTGAATTCTTGCATTCTTTACCCTTCCATCACTGTATTGATTCTTTTTTAAAAAAAAAAACAAAAACAAAAACAAAAAACAAAAAAACAAACAAAAAAAACAAAAACCAACAACCCAAACTCCCGCCTCACTTCGTCTCTGCAGAATGTTCACAGCAAAACACGTTTGCTCTGTTTTTAGATTCCTGAAGAATTAGTCTTTTCAAGACATTAATGTGTTTAAAGCTGGAAACCGTTGGGAGTTCACAAGTGCTGCATATACTGGGTAGCAAAAGAAAATGGAAAAAAAAAACCCACAAAACAAACTTTAAAAAAAAAAAAAAGCAAATTTGCCAAGGTTTAGCTGCTCATTTACATTAGTGTGTATGCATTCATTCAAGTCCCATGGTGGTGAATTTTCTTTGTTTCCCTTCCTAACCAGGATACAGTGGGCATCAGGGACTTACTTCATGCTAAGCCTGATGAAATGTGCTCCTTAAGCCTTCATGAAATCATCCTAACACGGAGGCCTCAGCTATTCTTGAGGAGAGAAATCAGATTTTGTTTTTTGAAATCGATTGGGAATCTAAAGCCTGAAATAAATATTCATACTTTACATAGAACTAAGCACTTGGTTGCTATTTATTCTTTAAAGGCAGGGTTATTTTTTCCCCCACTAGGGAATGGAGTGTGTGGGGAAAAAGTGGAAATTAGTGTGTGTGGATTTTTAGTGTTAAGAACAAAGTTAAAAATCACGCCAATTTTGGTTGATGCTGCTGAGGGAAACTCAAAACTACTGGTGGCCACTGGGAGAGGAGACACCTGTTTGTACTTAACATGGCCTTCCCCTCAAAGCTATTCTCTCACTGTGGGGTGGGTTGTTTTTTTTTTTTTAAGTAGCCACTTTTAATTACTCAGTATTAATCCTAGGTGCATGTGTTAAGATTTTGATTTTCATTGAGCCACCGATACCGAGAGTGATAAATGTGGATATGTATGAGACATGAGTGACCAGTTCTGACTTTTTTTCTCCTTTCAATATACTTTTTGGCTTTGGAGTGCAGCAGAAATTGTGCATGGAGCTTCCCATGGGTTTTTGTCTCTTCTGGCAGGACCAAGGGAGTTGACTGCAGGCAGTTTCCAGCCATGCGAGGCTAGATCTTCTAGCCATGCAGTTGCTGCAGGTTTGATTCCCAGGTCTCTATCATGTATTGCTTCAATTAAGATTGAGATCCAGCAGCCTTCATCATCCAAGTAGGTGATTTTTGTCATTGAGGTATGTGAGTTCATGGTGTTCTGAGTGGGGAAGCTGGCTATAAAGTCAGGTTTCAGAAGGAAAGTAACTGCAAGGTGACAGAAGTCCTACTTAAGATCCCTGTGCACCAGTGTCATCTCCTTCTTTAGATCACACTCAGAATGAACCAAAGGGCAGATTAGGGACAAGGGTAGGACAGATCCTAGGGTGGTCAGAGTAGGTGATTGATGCTTATTTCCATAGCTCCTCCTTCCTTTCTGATCTCAGGGTTTTCATTGCTCTTCAAACTTTCTCTCAAACATGCGCTATTTCTCAGCAGTCCTCTCTGGCCTCTAAAGTTTGGTCTGTTATTAAATGAGGTTGTTATGGGATATTGTTGAGTCTGATCCCAGAATCTTTGTGTAATCTCCACAGGGCCCGGGCTGCTAATTGCACCCTTAAATCTAGTGATTCCACAGATTCAGGGAACAGAGCAGCTCTATAGGACAGTGTTGTGATTCTGTCCAAGTAAAAACTCTAAAGGATGTTGGAACTAGCCGTTTTGATCCCCACACTTCTTAAGTAATGCTTCCAGATACCCTGCAAACCTTCTGGAGCCAAAGCCTCTCAATATTCTCTTGATTTACTGCCTCACCCCCTGCTTTTATCCCCCTTCCATCCCCATACCTGTCCTATACTATACAAGTTTACAGCCAGTAGCTCGTCTGACTCTCTTGGAGCCCTAAAATAAAGCCTTTCGTTCCCCTTACTGCTAAAGCATCTCACTCCCAGGGCAGGCCAGGCATCTTGGCATTATGGGAGGTGCTGTGCTATTCAGCTTTGTCCCATTAGACCCTGTTGGCCTCTTGCATGTTGACTCAGGGAGCCAGAGCGCCAAGTGGAGGTCATACCTCTCAGCCCTTCAGGGCAATATTATTGTAAGTTGGGTTTGCCTCTGATGAGAGTACAATCAGTTCCAGAAGCCAGGGGTATGTTGATTTATTGGCAGGTAGATATTCTGATAGTTTAGACTGACTTATAAAACCCAGATGCTGGTTCCAGACTTCTGTCCCTGAGAACATATCCTGTGGGAAAAAATACTTGTGAATCTAAGTGTTGTTTATTTTTTCTTTTGGGAGTGGATGGAGGTCTCTGGCTTATGCCAAAACCTCATGAGTACAGTTGTGCTAATTATTTGATGTGAAGTAAACTCAAAAATCCTGCATATTTCTTTTGGTTCTAATTGAGGCCTCACTAGAGTGGAGATATAATATCATGATTCCATTGTTGGCTTCTCTCACAGTCCCCCCCTTCCTTTTTTATCATTCCAGAGTTCTTTTCTACTAGCCGAACTTTTGTAGTTCCTTCTTTACAAAACCTTCCTTGGCAATTATTTGCTTCTTTACCTTTGCTGGTTTCCTTGTTTGAGGCAATGGAGTAAGAGATTGGAAGGGAAAATGTATAGTACTCTGCTGAAAATTAACTTTCCACCCCTCTCATCCTGATAAACAAGGTTTACATTTACAACTAAACAAATTCAGATGCAATTTTCAACTATTCTGAAACCAGCAGGACACACCTGACTTTAATAGTTTTCTTAGCTGAAATTGTAGATGTTTTTCTTCAGTTTAACTTATGAGAAAAGATTATCTTGATGCATTTTTGTGTTGACTTCCCCTTTAGTGGTTTATTTTGTCTTTTTCTGCCCATCTGTCTACTAATAAAATGTGAAATAAAATATACCTGTATTGCTACTTCCCCATGGGATGATCCTCTTTTTTTTTCCTTGTGTTAAAACTAAATGGTGGTCTGAACATTTTCATTATTTCTTTGAAAATTATGCCCAGAACTCAGCTGAAAAAACAGGACCACCACCAAAACTGGCTGACCTGTCTGTCGTCATGCATCCTGTCCAAATCCATCTCCTTTCCTAGAGAATTATCCCAATCCACACAAGATTTCAAGGAAAGTTTGTAAGGGCATAGCCATTTGTTAAGTTTGACTCAATTTGATTCCAAAACAGAACAGAGTCTTTAGAGGGATTGGACAGATACAGGGCTGCCTTCCTTGGGTAAACATTTTATTTTCATTGTTATTTGTGATCCCAACTTCCTGCTGCTAATAATAACAGGAAATCAAGCAAAAGATAACACGGTTTGATAAAAGTCCCCATTTAGTTTTAGTTGTGAATTCTAGCGGGACCCCTAGCTATATAATAGCCATGTGATTAGCTAAAACACTGCTCTCAACTACAGAGCCCCAACGAAGAAAAGGTAAATTAAACTCACCTTAGTTGGCTGGTTCTTCTGCCACATTAAGTTGACCAATACAGGTCAGGCATTCTAATCTAAGCCCTACAACCTGTGGTCAGAAGCACAGAAGTTTCTGCTTTATTAAGCCCAAGATGTTTCTCCCAGGGCCATCCCTCAGCCACACCACACAGAGACCGTGCATGCTCTCATAACTTTATTAGGTGGAGATTGGGCAAGAGAAAACCCCTGACACCGTTGCCCACCTGTTTTAGGACAACTGGAATAGAGGAGTCTTTGCTTGGAGATGGGCTTTCACTGAAGTGGAAGCAGATCTTTGATTTTTAAAGGGGAGCTGATGGGCTGAACATCTCTCTGAGACCAGATTTTTTTTTTTTTTAAAGTGGTCAGCCAGAAGGCAGCAAGTTTCTAGGGACTGGACCAGACCAGAAGAAACCCCTGCTCTATGTGAAGACAGGGCCCAGGTTTACGTTGGGCAGTAGATGATGAGCTCTGCTATTCTCAGATCAAGATACCCTGGAATGGGAGCATGACAAATGACAAAAGGACCAATCTCTCAAAAACAGGTATAAAGTAATTGGAAGCTGAAGAAAACTCAAATAATGGTTACAAGGGACTGAAATAAGTCGTGATTCTTCATTGGTATCTGACCATTGCACAATGTGCCTCGAACCAGCCCTTCCAGTGGCAGCCCTTAGCAGCCCATGGAGTAGGGCACCTGTGGAAGGCCTGAAGGCATCAGAGGTGCAGGGGCCTTACATGGCTATAGTGAAAGGGGTCTGGATGGGGAGAACAGAATTGGCTGCCATCTGCAGCTATACCCCCACTCCCCTGGGGCTTCTCATACATTTACAAATACATACATAAATACACTACATACAATATAGTGAGTCTGGGAGCTCCCCACTGAGAGGCTCAGCTGACAGTTACATGTCTCAGAAATTCTAGGGAAGGGTACCAGGCTCCCAGAAACGTGCTCTCCTGTCCAGGGTAAGCCCTACCCCCAAAGCCCACCCCTCTTTTGGAGGTCTAGTTTGTCCAGTATGGAGAGTTGCCATAGGTGGGTTTGGAGGCTTGAGACTTGGGCTGCAGGGAGCTGGGCTGGCTGCGTTGACCTGAACCACTCTGAGAAGAATGAGAAGGAAGAGAAAAGGCTGTCAGGGCTGGGATAGAATCCCCTACCCAGGAAGCCACCTCCATTACTGCACTCACCTGAGTGTCCTGGGGAAGGTGGTGGTGCAGCAGCTGCGAGTGTGGCTGCTGGTGGGCTGGCAGGATGTGCAAGAATGGTGGTGGAGCATAGCCAGGGGCTGCTCCAGGGGCCAGGGGTCCAGTTGAACCCAAGGCCGAGGGCAGGCTGAAAGGTGGAGGGGTTCCTGCATGAAATCCCTGCTTGTCAAAAGTCTGCAAGGCAATGAAGACAATGCTGAGGGTGAGGTTGCACTCTTAACTCTCACAAACCTACCTGGCCATCTTTGTCCTTCCTCACCTGTGTTTTGTAGACAGAACCAGTCATATCAGGCAGGCCAGTGGTACTTGAAGATACTGATACTCCTAGGAGGAAAATCAGGTAGTAGTTCCCATAGACATTTGGTCCCAGCTAGGGATACTCTGAGGGAGCTCTGCCTGAGAGGACAGGCAGAAGATAACTATTCCAAGCTTTAGCCCTAGAAAGGAGGGGCAAACATTACCTTTCCCAGGCCCAGAACCTGTAGACTTGTTTGGTGCCTGTGATGATCCACCATAGCCACCCTTGGTGTAGTCTCCTGCTGCTGTTCCCTGGGTCAGGTCATCATAACCTAGCATGGCAGAGAACAAGAGGCATGTGTGAGCTAAGCAAGCCTCTGCTACACCCTGTGTCTCTGTGCTGGAAGCACCTCTCACCTGTGCTGTAGCTGTGCTGGCCATAACCACTGGCCTGTTGGAAAGGGGTGGTGGGGGTGCTGAGGTTCACACCATGTTGCTTGGCTGATGCTGGAGGGACCTGGTGGGCACAGGTGGGGCAACAGTGTAAGAACACAGGCAAGATAGAGCAGGTCATACATCCTCTGCATAAGGTAGCAGATTACATACAACCAGAGGGGATTCCTTTTCATTAGTGCAGCACATGATATAAAAGCACATGAGGAATATAACCTCACCTGAGGCTCAACAGTTACTGAGGGTCACATGAGACACTCTGAGTAGTATCATGATCTGCCCCCTCCCTGCTGCTCCAAGGAGCTGGATTACAGGTCCAAAGTTTCAACCTTCCAGGGGTATAAGGCCTAGGGAGAAATAACACCACCCACAAATACTCACAAACATGGTGGGCCCATATTGGAAGGCACTGGGCACGCCTGTGTAGTAGGGGAGGCCAGTGTAGCTGTAGCCAGGTGGAAGAGCGGGATTCAAAAAGGGCTGCTGGGCTGTGTGGTGGGTCTGGGATTGGCTCTGCTGTGGCTGAGCTAGCGTGGTGGGGGGTGCAGGGGATGCAGAGTCACCTCGGCCAAACTTTGTGACATCACCTAGGATAAGAGGAACACTGACATTTGTAAATGAGGGGAAAAGCCAGACTGGCTCCTGCAAACAGGAACAGGTCTGGCTACCAGTCAAATACGGATAGTGAAAAGGCCTCTCACCTCTTCAACACCTGCCTTTCAATCTCCTGGGATGAGCTACAGCCTTGTCCACACCCTCCCACTCTCAACCACTGAGCCAACTAACCTGAATATGGATTATTAGTTAGGCTCCCATCTCGGCTGGCAAGGGCTGTGGGTGCAGCAAAGGGAATTCCATAGTAATCCTAGGAAAGACCAGGGGGGCTTATTCAGGAAAAGGTCTCACCCCACTCCCAAGAGAGCACAGCCGGAAGGGAACAGGCAGATGGCACTCTGAGTGACTCCATACTCCTGAATACAGGCTGCATAACTTAAAGGTAGCACTCACAGACAGCTGCAGTTATAGGTTGCCCTTGTGTGTAAGCAGCTTGGTAGCCCTGCGTAACTGACTAGCATGCAGACAGACTGACCAACTGGGCAGCATTCACCAGGCAGAGATGTTGGAGATCCAGTCTCTCAGCCACACCACAAATAGGTACCTGACCAATGTCACAAGCTGAACTAACTTTATTGGCTTTTCATATATTGGAGTCTCTAAAGACCAGTTAAGAAAATTGATGAAATGTAGGAAATTGGGAAAAGGAGTCAGTAGGAAAGGAAAAGCTTACAAAGTTTAAAGAGGGCAGAGTGCAGTGCCAGGTAGGCGCATAGCATTTCAGGTCTAGGACCCCAACTAGCCTCTCCCTACTCTGCCTTAGCAACACTGACACTGCAGAGGACTTAGGACTAAGAATAGTGGATATAACATTGTATGGAGACAAAGAGCAGTGGAACTGTGTGAAAAGGAGACCTGTCTGGCATTTACTTGCCATCTAGGGCTTTGGCTATCCTGGACACACTGAGTAAAGGACCTTGGGCTGCCCTAGAGCTATGGTCACAGCCAAACAAAAGCCACCCTGCCTGGAAATGTCACTAATACCCTTCTTTGGACACATCTCCAGGTAACCTCCAGGAAACCCACAGTATCCTCAGCCTAGAACCCCAGGAGGCAGCAAGACTGGGTAAACTGCATGGACCTATAAGGAGCACAACTGGGAACAGGTATAAAAAGCCCAGAAGGGGGAGTTCATTCACAGATATGGAAATCTAAAGGCAGGCATTAGGCATAAAAGAAACAAAGGCAAAAACATAATCAAGGGAAAAGTAAATGAAAGGTATATGAAACTTGGGCTCAGAGGGGATTTCTTCTAAGGCACAGAGAAAGGAAAGGAATCATCTGAATAAGGGAGGAGAACCAAGGAGAGTCCCTGAGACAGAATGAATTTCTGCTGGCATTTCATGAAGGGAATACTGGGAGCAGAAACATCTCTTTTGCTCCACGGACTCCCAGGAGACCTCTAGCAGAAGACCAAGCTGTCCTTCAGTCATTCTCTGCCTCTCTAAATAACTTCCACTGGTGGAAAAGTGCTTCCCTTCAGACACAGGAGTCTGGTGGGTAGAGGTGGGACCTGCAGCTCCCAGCTTTTGGTGACTTGGCACAAGAAGTACGAATCCCACAGGTACATTAAAGAAGGAAAGGTAACACCTCATTGAGGATAAATCCCCTTCCTCTGGGAACAGGAAAGACCACATCCAGTGGTCTGACAGTCTCTTCCAGGAAATGTCAGGCCAAGAAGAGTGTCTAAATAGAAGGAGATTCTGTCGGCTGGCAGAGGAAGACGTGGTCCTTCTCCAACCACCTGCTTCTGTGTTATCCCGGGGATGGCCCAGTGCTTCATCCTTATTCAGAAGGAAGAGGCAACTATGCTCTGAGAGCCAGGCGACAGAAATCCCAGAGTGAGCATTATTGCACATAAAGATGCGAGACCAGACCAGAAGACACCTTAAGGATGGTCAGTTCCAGCTATTCATTCATCAGAGGCAGAAGACTAACACTTCTATCCC